ATGCAACAGATGACCATGGTTCGGGATCGGTATGGACTATGTTCACTTACTGTAGTCGTCTGAATAGATATATTTAATTTAAAATCAAATTGATGATAATTTTAATTATTTTATTTCTCATTTAATAATAGGCGTCAACTATATTCAATCAAATGACATCCTATTTGCTATTTACTAATGTATTCATTGTTACTGTATTTAACTTTATGAACAAATAATTTAGCATTTGTGTATTATGTATGCAAATATCTATTGACTAATAATAAACATCCAGTTCAATTAAATGTAAAATATATGATTAATTTTAACGTTATATAAATAATTACAAGAATTACAGTATAATTGGTTTAATAGTTATTGTTTAATAGAATTAATTTAAAAATTATTAATTGATATCATACTGTACACTGGTTATTAATAAAACAATCATTTATGAAACAAAATACAGTTTTAAAATTATGTAAATGAATAATTGAATGAATAAAAGATTTAGTGATTTAAAAAATGAATGCCAGTTTAAAATTTAAAATTTAAATTTAAAATCAAATTTTAAAAATATGATTAAAAATAAGTAAGATTCATAATATGCTTTCAAAATCAACCATACAATGAACATAGTTTATTAATTACTTAATAATTAGTTGTATTCATTACTGAAGTTGTATTTCAGATTTAAAATTCGTATTATTTAGAAAATAATCTTGGTAACCTTTAATTAATATGATTAGTCTATTATTTTAGCGATTATATAATTAGAGATAGTTACAACCGTAAAATAATGTATTATAATATAATTATATTATATTTATGAAAATTACAGAATTGCCAGTAATAAATGATTACTAATAATTACAATGATGTTTCAATAATTAATAATATGATAAATCAACTTAATTAGAAACCATTCAGATAATGGCAACCGTAATACATAGGCATACAAGCACCACCATTCACAAATGAATAGTTTTGGGCATCATATCCCTGGTAACCCAAATGGTGTGCTTATATATACAAAGGGATATAGTGATGAACACGTAAATGCCAAGCCATAGTTATTAGCATCGGGGCTAAGATAGGCATAAGTACCAGGGTCAGTTGCACTGAGGCTAAGATACGCATAAATGTGATGAATGAGTGGTAACTGAAAACCCACATTTGAAAACGTGTGGCCCACCTATCGATCACATCCAATTGATCCATTAGTTTGCCACCACATGAGCACTGATTGCCCGTCGAGATGGTCGACCCAATATATTGAGGTGTGAAGTGGAAACTCTGTACGTTCACTGTGGCGGCCGGGGATGTGAGGGTGGGCTGAGTCTGATCTCCGGTCACTTCGCAAATCCAATGGCCGTTATCGCGGACGGCCTGAGCGTTGGCCACCACTAGACTACAGTCCCCTCCCGTGCCGTCCGACTGTCGCCACCGATAGTCCGCCGAAAATCGCCCCACATTTGAGCCGATATTACGGCCATCCCTGAGCCAAAAGCATTCGCCTACCCGTCCAATCACTTGACATTCCAGTACAAACCCCTCGCACTCTCTGACGCCTATATTTTGTGGAGTTTTTAGGAAACTCTGCGGAACAGCAGCACCGGCGGTGTTAGGACTGGCGTTGTTGAGCGCCGGCTGTTGAGCGCCGGTGACGATCACCTTCTTAGTGGCGATCACATCAGTGAACCACCGCTTCAGAAGCTGTAGGTTCGCCTCATTCACTGTCTTACTGACCGTCCAGTTGGCCGACACTCGAGGCATAACCTGTTGATTGGGACGCAATGTACCAAACGGGTCGTCCGTTAAGTACAGAGACATTGTAGGCATACATACGGCCAGACCTATCATCAGATGAATGATATATGCGTTCATTGTTTCATAACTAATGAATGAAAACACAATTGAAATAAAAGTTTATTTGAAAACAAAGTTTGTGTCAAATAAATGCTATGAAAGTGTAATATATTAGTACACTATAGTGTACTTTCACTCGCTGTACAGTACACAAAAGTATTGAACATAAATATGAGGTCAACTATTTATGTAGGTACTAGGTACTACTAGGTATTTAACTAGGTACTACAAGTCAAACGTGTCTGACTTGTGACCTAAATTGAACTGATCGCGGTTTGAACTGAGCATCCTATTTGTTATTTACTAATGTATTCATTGTTACTGTATTTAACTTTATGAACAAATAATTTAGCATTTGTGTATTATGTATGCAAATGTCTATTGACTAATAATACACATCCAGTTCAATTAAATGTAAAATATATGATTAATTTTAATGTTATGTAATTAATTACAAGAATTACAGTATAATTGGTTTAATAGTTATTGTTTAATAGAATTAACGTAAAAATTATTAATTAATATCATACTGTACACTGGTTATTAATTAAACAATTTTAATTAAACAAATTACAATTCAAATAGTTATAGTTTTTAAATGATTTTAAATGAAAAATTAAATCAATATTAAATGAAATGATTTAAAATTTTAATGGCAGTCATGATATGATAAGTAATAAGTAAGATACTTATTATCATATTTAAAAACAAACATAATTTAATTAATGAATAATTAATTTAGTTGAATTCATTGCTGAAGTTATATTTGAGATTTAAAAATATTAGTATTTAGAAAATAATCTTGGTAACCACTAATTAGTAGAATTCTATTATTT